AACATTTTTATTAGCAAGTTCATGGCACGAGTAAATTGATATTCGAAACGGAATAAATTATAATAACATAATACTATTTCTGAAAACGAGTTTTAGATGGTAATAAAGAAAGATAACAATAAATTTCGACTCGCATTAATTAGCTTTAATAAAACATTTTTTGTAATGTACATGAATTTTAATGAATAAACGTAATTTTAATTATTTTCATATCTATCGTGATAACCAATCCAATATTTGTTTATTCAACAAATCCAAACTTAATGTTGCTTATGTCTGAATGAATTTGCCAGTTTTTAATTTTTTTGCCGTTATTAGTTTTAAAATTTGGTTCGACTATCAATTATGAAAAAAATGTAAAATATATGTTTTCGAAACTCATGTCATCGAACCAATGATTATAAACAGTTTGTCACCATGTCATGTATTCCACTAAAATGGACATCGAAAAAAAATTGGAATTAAGGAACTTTAATTATCAAAATCGTATGCTGAGCAGCATATATTTTTCTTTCCATTAAAAAAAAATCCACGAATATCTTTTAATAGTCTGATTGTTTTATGAATATAAAATGACTACGAGTTTTAAATCTTACAGCGAAGATATAAACAATGCGGTAGAAACACGTCTATTAAGAAGTATTCGTCCGTCTTTCTGATTTTCATCACCCGCCGACGTGTTTATACGGTGCTCTGAACCTTCGATAATTACTAAGCTATATTGAAATCTCAGAAAGGTTAACGTTTCATTTATGCGCGTGAGACACGCGAGGTTCTACCACAGGTCGCTAGCCTGCGGGCCAATGAGCTCGTATAAACTGACCAGTGCCATTAACGTATGGACCCACTTTGACTTCTTTCTTTTGCACATTCCGATTTTTCTCTATTAGTATATGATGCAAAATATATGTGATACATAATAACAATCATTTTGGGATATCAAGATAATACTATGGAATAATTTCAAAAATTTCTTGAAAAGAGTTAATTGATACAAAATTAAAATTGTTGCCATTTTTCGTGTAATATCTTTTAATTAAATAAAATGTTTGATGCAGTCATCGCAGTATGCACATTTGTTAATTTAATGAAATTCAATTAAAAATAGATTCAAAGATAAAATCTACTTTAATAATAGATTTACAATGTATAAATCTTTCAATTTTACATTATGCTGTTAAATAGTAACTTCTGTTTGCAATGCTGCATAGAATAATTTATGTAGATACTCAAATAATCAAATGCATAAGATACATTTGAATCTCTTTCAAAGTATTTCTTTAACGACACTATGTAAATTAAATTTCTATTGTACTAAGTACAATTAGAAATGAGATTTTTATTATTACCATGCAATAAGTTCTTGAAAATGCACTAAAATTACCAAACTATTTGTATATAAACATTCGTTTTCGATTCTTTCTTCTCGTAAAAGTAACGCGCAATCATTCTTTCAAACATAAAAAATTTGTTACCATTCCGTGAATTTAACTATATGAAGTTCATTTTAATAACAGTTTCGAAATATAACAAAATCGGTCCTGTTAAACAAAGCAGAAAACTTGAAAACTAATTTCAAATAAACATTAAATCTATAGTTTTTATGCAAGCAATAAAGGATAACATTGGAACCAATCATCTTATCTTACGGAACAATCAAGTCGCACCTAGCCCAGACGAGTAATTTTTCAAAATAATAAATAAATTTAATAAAATAAATAAAAAGGTCCTTCCTTCCCCTCGCCACCTCCAAAAGTAGATTGTGATCAAATTTGGCGAAAGCAACAACGATAAACGATATCGTCTTCAGTGACAAATATATATATAATCTTAATTATTTTTACCGGCGGACCCGGTGAGAAAACAATACGATGACCAGCAAATAGTCGCAGGTATCAGAACCAGCGATTTCCTGTAGAACATACACACGCATCTTTTGTACGTGTGTTTTTATACGTTATTCTTCTCTGCGGTGGGGATGTGCGCGCTCGGCATGTCTGTGACACGCCTGGGTATAAGAGAAGCCAGTATGTGGAGGCGTAGCCAGTCACCCTGTCTTACCTCCAAGACAAGCACGCGTTCAATTTTATATTTAAATTTTTTATTCTTGCATACTTTTGTTGTGTTTTCAGTATAAACACGTTACATTAACGACGCCTCAACTTTAGACACAGGGCTATTTTAGGGGGTGAGATTCGATTGGTAAGTAAGAAAATACGCAAAATTATTTGTTTTTGTTGTCTATTTATTATTTTGTTGTCGTACACTTATTTCGACAGCAATTATTATAGTTTAGATGACGTGCTCGTGCTATTGCTCAAGTACTTAATTAGAATACTGATATAATCGACAAGTGTGTGTTTATTTTTCTTTGAAAAGTCATTAGCAACGCTACAAATACCGGCTTTTAGTATGTTGTGGGTAATACTCTATTAACCGTTGCATCTAAAAAAGAAAAAAACTGATTACTTAATTGAACAAGATGCAATTAAATACATGTCATTTACAAAACTATGTAATGTTAATGTCATTAGACAATTTTTTATTATTCTTTTATTATTAATCTGTGAAATATTCAATTAAAATATTTGCCTATCGCACGATTTTACCGAATAGAAAAATACATAAAACTTCATTACAAGTAGTAAACGATCGACCTTCGAGTCTACAGTGTGCGGTACTCCCAAAAACCGGAATCTCAGACCCTTTTAACATGAAAATCTAAATGACTTGCTCCCACGAGTATGAATACAATATGAAGAAATTTCTTAAGATTTGAATAAAAATTTAGAGTTTTAATTAAGGATTACGAATGAATAGATTAAAAATTATTCAATCAAACAATAAAATTCATTTTACAATATAAAAATCAATAATATTGTAATGCTTCAAATTTGTACCAATACTATATAGAAGTAAGTAAAAAGTAAGATTCGTATTGATAGTAGAAAATTTAAAAAAATGCACAGATAAATTATTCAAATAAGTATATAGGACTTCAGAGTTTGTTGTGAATGTCCAGAAACTACGATATACAATATTAAACAATTCAATAAATTTTATTAGGTACAATTAATAATAGATACAAAGTTGGAGGTGTCGTTTAGTAATTAGCTTAAATTTTTTTGATAGAATGATTTAATTTTTATATTATAAAGCTCGTTGAAATTTAGAGAAAAAACAATAGATATTAAAAAAAACAATAGATTAGCAATTTTATGATATGCTCAGTAAAAAATTTAAATCAGATAAAATTAGAATTTAATTATGAAGAATATTGAATTCGTATGTGAAAGGTCATTGCCAAAGAGGGTGCGCCGCAGAGTATTTAACTAGGTTCATTTTTAGACAGAGCCAATGATATTTATTGTTACAGTTGTATATTATTCAAAAATGGAACTTATTTAAATTTAATACCCAACATAGCACATTCTGATGTACTAGTGCATTCTAGTGCATTCTGATCAACTTTCTTTTTTTATCAAATATAGTTTCAAATTATTTGACATTAACAACAAAAAGTATCTTACAGCAAATATACTTAAAAAATAAATAAATATAATAAGTATCATTTTTATATGAACAAATAATTGTATTAGCATATGTTACATTGCTGAAAAAATAGTTTGAGAAAATATAATATGAGAAAGTCAATTATTTAAAATATCCTGTCTAGACGATATAAAGAAAAACTGTGATCATAAACTTGAGCTATACTACGAGACCTTTGGTAGAAAATGTGCTGTTACCGTAAGCATATCACAGACGTATTGGAATTTATCGGCATTGCACGCACAACTTTCAGTGTCTGTGAAGACCAGTTATCATAAAGTATACATAACAATAGATATATACTTTATGTACTAAAAATATATTTATTCTTCATTGGATCTTATTTAATTTTCATATAAAACATAACTTGAATCAATATAATAAAAAAAATTGTAAGAAGTAATAAAGATATTTCATACGTTTATCGGTGAAAGAAGACACTACAAAAAGTGTATTAAAAGAATTTATCATAATCACTGGTCTACTTCATCTATTCTAATAATGCAATCGTATTAGCTCATCAAGATATCATAGTATTTAGTTGATTGAACTAGCGGAGTAGGAGATATATATCCAGCTCGTTCACAAAATAATTTCATTGAAAAAACAATTCTAATATTTGTTAAACAAATGCTATAACGATACTTAATAATTTATAATATGAGAATAAACAAATATACGCTAAGCATATTGTGTTGATAATAGTAAGAAGAATACAATTAATTACTCACTTATCTTTAAATTTTTATAAAATATAACCAACCTCTGTTGTAACTTTTGTAACGTATTATCCGCAAATAAATAATTAAATGAATCATTTTAAGTTTTTTTGTTGCTTTTACCGATCTATGAGAACTGTAGAGTATTTTAGACAATACTTTTTTGTTTTTAAGCAGAAATTAAGCCAATTATCGCTATTACACGCTATTACTAGTATACGCGGGTACACACACGAATATATATGTGTAAATATATATAAATATATATGTATAAATAAAAGTTTATCATACATATATAAAGTATGAATATATTACTAGAAATCTTAGCAAATTTCTATTTTTATTCTATACTTATTGAAAATAATATATTTTCAAGGCTATAAGAATAATTCACTTTATACGTATTCGATTGTTAGGTACAATGTAATTATTAGTAATATTTATACATACCTATATAGATGTATACCGTATAGACCGAAAAAAAGTATCATAAACTCTGTTTAAGCTTAAGTTGAGCAGAAAAAGCATAAAGCGCGCACGCACGCACACACACACACACACACACACACACACAATATTTTATTACGCATAAAGTCCTTTGAAATGAAAATTTAAAAGTAATATATATATATATATATATATATATATATATATATATATATATATATATATATATATATATATATCAAATTAATTTTTTTTTTATTTGTTCATTTCAGATTTTACAATATGAGACGATCACACGTCCTAGTACTGTGGGTAACAACATTGACTTGTTATGGTAATGTTCTTGCCGATATATCAGAAATTGCAAATGGAACCTTATTTGAAAATGGATATCACTACAAGAAATCAAGTTCTAGATTGACAAATATATTTAATAAAGAAAATGTCGAAATATCGGTGAATGATACAAATACAAATAAATATGATTATACAAGTAGTAGTAGCAACGAAAAAAACAATAGCTCTAATTATTCAGAACCTTTTGTGCTTGGAGATCCTGCTACTTCCAAACTGGTTAATTCTCAAACTAATGTGCATTCAAATGTTTTGTCGAAAGCAGAAGCTGAAGTAATTGCTATTGAAGATGAATCACTAGCCAATAACAAAGTCATTTATCAAAAATCTCAACAGCAGATCAATAGTCGTCCTAATAAACAAGAAGGCTCTAACTATTGGTGGATGGCTTTTGGAAGTCCTTTCAAACCTCAGAATGATTGCAACGGCAATGATTGCCAAGTTAGTGAAACCTTGACTAGTGAAATCAAAGGAAGCGGTACAGTTGGTGGAATCGCATCTAGCGAAGATTTTACTGCAGGTAGCGACTCGTCAAATGTGGGTATAGCTGGACCATTGGAAAATCATGGAAACCAATTTTTAGATAAATCAATCGATACATCATCTGCTATTTCTTCGACTACATCGTCGAATATTAATGTTGATACTAGATTAAGCTCAGACATAGTTATTAAACCAAGCAATCCCTTTTTGAATGGTGATTATGAAGAATTAAAAAAAAACGGTGGAACTTCATCTGGAATTTATACTTCAACGGAAACTGTCGATTCTAATGAATTACCTGATCATCCTAGTAACACGCATTTTGATAGATTACGCGCCGGACAACTTGGTAATCGTTTCTTTGGTAGCCATAGAGGAATAGGCAGTGGCAATTTCGCAGGACCATTCGCTGGACAATCTGGAGCCGGGATAGGAACTAATGTAAATGCTGGTGCTCAAGGCGGTCTAGGAGGATATGGTAATTTCCAACATGGCGCAGAATCAAATAGAGGCGTTAATTTAGGAAGTTTTGGACCGGGAATATTTAGTGGAAACCACGGAGGATTTCTCGGTGGCCAAGGAGGATCACAAGGTGCAACTAATGGTGGAATTGTTACTCAAGGGGGTTCTCAAGGAAGTTCTCAGTTCGGGGGTCACCTAGGTGGTCAGTTTGGAGGAGGATCTTCTGGTCAAACTAGCCCGACAGCAGGAATCGGAATTAATGGTGGGGCTCAAGGAAATTCTCAGTTCGGGGGTCACCTAGGTGGTCAGTTCGGAGGAGGATCTTCTGGTCAAACTATTCCGACAGCAGGATTCGGCATTAATGCTGGAGCTCAAGGAAGTTCTCAGTTCGGAGGTCACCTAGGTGGTCAGTTTGGAGGAGGATCTTCTGGTCAAACTATTCCGACAGCAGGATTCGGCATTAATGCTGGAGCTCAAGGAAGTTCTCAGTTCGGAGGTCACCTAGGTGGACAGTTTGGAGGAGGATCTTCTGGTCAAACTAGCCCGACAGCAGGATTCGGCATTAATGCTGGAACTCAAGGAAGTTCTCAGTTCGGGGGTCACCTAGGTGGTCAGTTTGGAGGAGGATCTTTTGGTCAAACTATTCCGACAGCAGGATTCGGCATTAATGCTGGAGCTCAAGGAAGTTCTCAGTTCGGGGGTCACCTAGGTGGTCAGTTCGGAGGAGGATCTTCTAGTCAAACTAGTACGACACCAGGAGTTGGCTTTAATGCTGGAGCTCAAGGAGGTTCTCAGTTCGGAGGTCATCTAAGTGGTCAATTCGGAGGAGGATCTTCTGGTCAAACTAGTACGACACCAGGAGTTGGCTTTAATGCTGGAGCTCAAGGAGGTTCTCAGTTCGGAGGTCATCTAAATGGTCAGTTCGGAGGAGGATCTTCTAGTCAAACTAGTAGTACACCAGGAGTTGGCTTTAATACTGGAGCTCAAGGAGGTTCTCAGTTCGGAGGTCATCTAAGTGGTCAGTTCGGAGGAGGATCTTCTGGTCAAACTAGTACTACACCAGGAGTTGGCTTTAATACTGGAGCTCAAGGAGGTTCTCAGTTCGGGAGTCATTTAGGTGGTCAATTCGGAGGAGGATCTTCTGGTCAAACTGGTACTACACCAGGAGTTGGCTTTAATACTGGAGCTCAAGGAGGTTCTCAGTTCGGGAGTCATTTAGGTGGTCAATTCGGAGGAGGATCTTCTGGTCAAACTAGCCCGACAACAGGATTCGGCATTAATGCTGGAGCCCAAGGAGCTTCTCAGTTCGGGAGTCATTTAGGTGGTCAATTCGGAGGAGGATTTTCTGGTCAAACTGGCACAAATTCAGGAGTGCAAGCTGGTGCCAGTGCTGGAGTTGAAGGAGGTTTGTTGAATTCTACATATATTTTCCATTATCCCGTATTCATAAAAGTAGATATTTTACTGTTATTGAAGTTTGAAAATAATTCAGTAAAAATTTATCGTTTTTTAAGATTTTCTAGTTAGATAGCAAATTTTGCTTCAAACGAATCGGATTCAGTATCCTGCTCGAAACTTCGATACTTTCTTGTGTAACATTAACGTTCACAAGACGGTTTTTCGAAAGCTGAGTTCTAATTATTACCACGTAATGTATTTCCCTATGTTTTTGAGGATGCTATTTCTAATGTTGTTGGTTAAAAATCTCGACAAAATATTTTACCATTGAAAAATCAAAAAATATATAAAATCATCGTGAAGTTTTTGCTCGATAACTATATATTTTACAACAAATTTTCTCAGAACAATAATGTCTTAGAATTAGTTAAAGAGTATCCTAGAATTATTTCAAAATTTATTAATATAATTTTGGAATTTTTGAATCTGTGATTTCGTTAATTCAAAAACTTTCTCTGACCATTTTAAGAAAATTTAAGAGTATTTTTTAATAATTTTCAAATAATTTCATTCCTAGAACATGTGTACGAAAATCTATAGTTCTTGAGGAAAAAAATTTTCACATCGGCCGCGATTTTGTTTAAACAATAAATTTAATGTTCCATCAAACTTACTAATACGAGGGTCGTTTGAAAAGTTCGTGCAAAAATAAAAACTGCTTTATTTTTTTAATAATTTTTTTTTATTTTTCAACATAGTCTCCTTTTAGGCTTATACACTTCATCCAACGCTGCTCTAGTTTGTTAATCCCTTCCAAATAATAGGATTTGTCCAAGTCTGTAAAATAGGTATTCGTTTCTGCAATCACCTCCTCGTTTGAATAAAATCTTTTCCCCGCCAGCCATTTTTTCATAGTAGGGAACAAATAGTATTCCGACGGAGCCAAGTCTGGAGAATAGGGGGGATGTGAAACGTGTTGGAACCCTATCTCCATCAGTTTTGCGGCCACAACTGCTGAGGCGTGAGCTGGCGCATTGTCGTGGTGGAAGAGGACTTTTTTGTGGGCCAATCGTGGGCGTTTCTCTAGCAACTTGGTTTTCAAACGATCCAATAACGATGAATAATATTCGCCTGTAATGGTTTTACCCTTTTCCAGATAGTCGATGAAGATTATTCCTTGCGAATCCCAAAAGACAGTCACCATAACCTTCCCGGCCGAAAGAATTGTCTTCACCTTTTTCGGAGCAGATTCCCCCTTGGTAACCCATTGTTTAGACTATTCTTTGGTCTCAGGAGTGTAGTGATGTATCCATGTTTCATCTACAGTGATGAAACGACGCTTAAAGTCTTGCGGATTTTTCTGGAACAGCTGCAAACCATTCTTGCAACACTTCACACGATCTCGTTTTTGGTCAATCGTCCATCTAGCGGATAGCTTTTTTATGTCCAAATGTTGGTGCAAAATATTATGTGCCCATTCGCTCGAGATGTTTACAGTACTAGCAATCTCACGCACCTTCACTCTTCTGTCAGCCATCACCATATCATGGATTTTATCAATGATTTCTGAAGTGGTAACCTCAACAGGGCGTCCAGAACGTTCAGCGTCTTTTGTGCTCATATGGCCTCTCGGAAAATTTTGAAACCACTTATAAACCATTCTAATCGAAGGTGCACAATCACCATAATGTTTATCAAGCTTCTGTTTAATCTCCTGAGGTGTTTTGCCTTTGAAAAAGTAATGTTTAATCAATACATGAAATTCTTTTTCGTCCATTTTTTAACAACCACTCGATTTCTTTGATTGAAACGAATGTAAAACGCAAAGTAATTGGCCGATCTGGCTGAAACTTGGTGTGTGCTTTTCCAAGATATGCTACTAACTAAAAATAACCTTAATACGCACTAGTAGCGCCATCTCTCTGACTTTGCACGGACTTTTCAAACGACCCTCGTATTTATTTTAGATATCGAGGCCACGATATAACGAGGTTTTAGTTATATAAAAAATGTTAAGTTAATGTTAAAATTATTTTGTCGCGATTTTCAATCAACATTATTTAAAAGAGCACACTAGAAAACATAAAGAACAATAGTTCCTGAATGTTTTCCGTTCAAATTTATTACGTAATAATAATGACAACTCAGCTCTCGAAAAACCATCCTGTGAGCGTTAATGAGTTAGGTTAACGACTACTTTTTTCTAAACAAAATATCTGTTCAATCTAGGTTGTGAAAAGAGTTTTAATCTATAGCTTAATAAAAAAAAAGATAATAATTGTTCGATTAAAAAATAATGTTTGACAATTGATCTTCATTAGTCACGAAAAAAAATTAATGTTGTTGTAATTAGGTGCTCAAGGAGTTGTTTCCGGACAAAGTGGATTTGGTATCGGAAGCACTGTTGGTCAAGCTGTTACTGGAGCTATAAGCAATGTAGTTTCGCAAGCTAGTCAGTTAGCTCAAAATGGTTTTGGCATTGGATCTCATAATGGAATATTTGGTGGACACGGCGGATCAGGTATTTTTATAAATCTAAATCGAAACTTTAAATAATTAATTGATAATTAGATAAATAGATAAAAAAGTTTTACACTCACACATACATAGAACTAATTTGCTTGATAGACACTATATTCACGATTATTTCTTGCTAATTAAAATATCTGTCCATTCTCGCTTGAAAAAATAGTGTTTCAATATTTACCTTGATAAAACAAATCGAATTTCAACATTTAAAAAAAAAAAATTCTTTGACAGTTTATGGTAATTAGCCACGAAATAAGAAAATAGAGATATTCTATTAACGTCTTTTAATTTGGCGCTCAATTTCAAGGAGGAAATTCCGGACAAGGAGGTTTCGGCAGTGGGAGCAATGTTGGTCAAGCTATTGTTGGAGCTATAGGCAACGTAGTTTCGCAAGTTGGTCAGTTTGCTCAAAATGGTTTTGGCATTGGATCTCATAATGGAATATTTGGTGGACACGGCGGATCAGGTATATTTATGAATTGAAAGCTAATACATTTAGACAAATATAGATAATTAAATAGATAGATGATATTAGTTGATTTGTAAATAATTTCCGTATTATTTGTAGTAGAAATATAAATAATTAATATTTTTTTGAATATTATTTAAAATTTTATATTCAATTAAGTAGATAGCAATTGTATCAAATGATAAAATATTAAAATTTTAATTCATTTTTAAACGAATGACATATTAATTAAAAAATTATGTAATATCATTATTCTTAAAGACGCATCATTTACAGTAGGAAGTATCACTGGAGGCGTCAGTCAGGGTAGTGTCTCTCAGATTGAGTCACAGAGCAGTAGCACAACATCCGGCGCTGTGTCGGGAGGAGCAAATCAAGAATCACATTTTGGATCTAATTTAGGATCATCATTTGGATCTCACTTTGGAACCGGATCACATGAACTTTCTGGAAACAGTGTAACAGGGGGAACTAGCCACGGATCTCACTTCGGCAGTGGATCCAACGGATCGCAGGGAGTTAATATTTTCGGAGGATCGACTCATGGATCTCAGGGAAGTAACGTAGCGGCAGGAGCCAGTCAGGGATCTCAATTTGGAACGGGAACGCACGGATCTCATGGTGGCGCCGTATCAGGAGGAAGCAGTCACGGTTCTCACTTTGGAAGTGGATCACAGGGATCACAAGGAGGTAGTGTAACGGGAGGATTTAACCAAGGCTCTCACATTGGAAGTGAATGCCATGGATCTCAGGGAAGTAACGTAGCAACCGGAGCCAATCAGGGATCTCACTTTGGAACTGGATCTCACGGATCGCATAGTGGAAGCGTATCAGGTGGAAACAGTCATGGTTCTCACTTTGGAAGTGGATCACAGGGATCACAGGGATCACAGGGATCACAGGCAGGTAGTGTAATGGGAGGATTTAACCAAGGCTCTCACTTTGGAACTGGATCTCACGGATCGCATAGTGGAAGCGTATCAGGAGGAAATAATCATGGTTCTCACTTTGGAAGTGGATCACAGGGATCACAGGGAGGTAGTGTAACGGGAGGATTTAACCAAGGCTCTCACTTTGGAACTGGATCTCACGGATCGCATAGTGGAAGCGTATCAGGAGGAAACAGTCATGGTTCTCACTTTGGAAGTGGATCACAGGAATCACAGGGATCACAGGGAGGTAGTGTAACGGGAGGATTTAACCAAGGCTCTCACTTTGGAACTGGATCTCACGGATCGCATAGTGGAAGCGTATCAGAAGGAAACAGTCATGGTTCTCACTTTGGAAGTGGATCACAGGGATCACAGGGAGGTAGTGTAACGGGAGGATTTAACCAAGGCTCTCACTTTGGAACTGGATCTCACGGATCGCATAGTGGAAGCGTATCAGGAGGAAACAGTCATGGTTCTCACTTTGGAAGTGGATCACAGGGATCACAGGCAGGTAGCGTAACGGGAGGAGTCAACCAAGGCTCTCAATTGGAAAATGGATCACACGGTTCACATGGAGGTATTGTGGCAGGGGGGTCTAGTCAAGGATCATACGGAGGCAGCGTGTCAGAAGGTGGGAGTCATGGTCAGTTTGGTATCGGTTCTTCAAGTCAGCTTGGCATTAGTTCACAAACGGGTACTGGTAGCCAAAGTCAATATGTTGGTGAATACAATATGGGCTCACATGGTAGCTCCCAAACTAGTAGTAGTAGTAGCAATAACAGCAGCTTTGTAAGCAGTTTTGAGTCGAATTATGAAAGTAGTTTTGGTAGTAATTCTAGTTCTAGCTTCGAAAGTTCATCCTTTCAATTCGGAACGTCGCCCACTACGCCAGGTGCTAGTTTACATAATGAATCAAGCGGAGGATACGTGTACGAAAAACCAGAGATACCGTTTGAAATTGGAAATACTCTCAGCTGTAATGGCGATGGAAAAATTTGCATTGCGAAGCATAAATGTGTGAATGGCTATGTAATCTTAGCAGGAGTCTATCAAGTTGGTCATCAGGTGAGTTTTTATACCAATATATTTTAATTTATAAAAAAAAATTTTATCCACCTCCTGTTTTGCTTCAGAAAAAGTATATGCGCAAGTTAAATTTATTGTGAGTTTTTTGCAAAAATATATTATTATATTGGTAAATTATATTTTTATCTCGTGATAATTTGCTCTAATAATCAAACATCTAGTTTTTTATGGTATAAATAATTTTGTTAGGCATTAGCTATTTACGATGTGAAAAATGTTTCTTTAATATAATACAATTTTACAATCAAATTACATTTTTTTCATAATATACAATTATACAAAGAGCAATTTAAACAAGTTTAATAATTTAATTCGATACTTTCATATAATTTATTATTAGTTATTTTGTTTAAAAATCAAGCAAGTGTTAATTTTTTTCCAAACTCTCTCAATGTATTATGTTAGAAATATTATTTCTGATTACAAATAATTTCGCTTTAAGAAGAACAATAGCCTATTACTAGTTTGTAATTAGATTTAATTTTTCTTTCATCTACGATCTACACGACAACACTAATAAAAATAACGATGAAGCATATCAATATTTTGAAAGTAATTACCAAGTTGGAAGAAGTACTCCCTATCTATTTTTTAGTATCACGTAGCCCCTAAAGACAGCCTACTGGGTTTGTCTAATCCGCAGGCAAACCGCTTGTATCCTAATTGTCATGTAGGACAATATCCTGTCATGTGCATTCTATTAACACTGAACTCGGCTAGTCGAAGTTACATGTACAGTAACGGTCGAACTTTTATATTCTCATCGATTGCTACATCGTAGACGTAATCGATTAGCATAAATTTACATACAATTCCGTCCAACTACCATTTGCAAGCGAGAACGAGAAGGCTCCCTCGACTTGCACCAGTATCATCTCGGGAATTCCCTTTTTCGGTTTGCCACAAATCGATGCATAGAGCTGAGTGGATTTAATGGCTATTATCTTATTTGGCTTCATTCTTTTACGGAGGCGGTTATGAATCTAAAGGCCACTATTAAATTTTTTTTTGTCTTTGATCAAGAAAATAATAATGCTCAGTCGCATGTTTTTCATTCTATATTAGTCGCATGACTAAATAATAAAACGTGTCAAATTTAACTATTTATTAAATCAGTATTTCTTTTATTTAATCATCTTGAATAAACTATTTACATTTTATAGAATAAAATTCGTTTATTGTAAAGAAACTTAATGTAAACATAAATTTTAATAACTTATTTGTTCCACGGTAAACCCATGTGTTTAAATTTAAACGTTTAATATGACATCACCCATAAGAAATCCATTGTCCTCAATTTTAAACACTTCTAAACGTTTAAATTCAGCGGCAATGTATTTCTTATGGGTGACGTCACAATTACACACTTAAAACGTTTAAATTTAAACACATAGGATTTTAAGGTTTTGCCCTGTTCAAAACTAATAAATAATATAAAATCAGATATATGTTATACTTTTTGATTTCTACCGGTACTTCAAAATTCATTAGAAGCTCAAAAGATGTATACAAAAGTATTTATGATAAAAGAGTCATAACGAGCTTGAAGAATCCCGTAGAAATCAATAGCTTAATTCTATATAAATCCTATATTTTTTGGAATTCCGTATGACACAGTATATTTTATATACATGATTAAGTGATTTATGAGCAGTCATTCTTTGATAAAAAGTAGAATAAACCATAAAAGTGACGCCATTTTCCGGGTAAGATTCGTTGACACAACGACCGCTGCCGCATATATACGCCTCTTCGAAAGGAAGTGATGCGTGCTTCTTTTATTAAACACGCGTCCTTGTGCAGCTACGAAAAGCCGGTCGGGACCCGTGGAATCTGTGTTTGAGAATGCGACTCAAAGCGAGAGCAATATATTGTCCCACAAAAGTTGTAAAATTTTAAAAAGAGCTTTCTTACTTAGATATTTCTATGAGATTAAAGATGAATTACTCTTATCACTCTAAAACAATGTAGAACAACGTCTTTCCAAATAAAAATTTGATTTGTTCACAAATAAAAAAAGTTATAATTGTTATTAAAATTCAAATAATTAATTATTTCAATATTGAAATCGCTAGTTTTTCATAGAAAAATAGTATACCTTGAGGTAATACGTGTTTTCTAACCGAATAAAAAATATTAACATTCGTGCACTTATACTTCTACGTAATATTTTTAAAAAATTGAAAAATTAATTCAATATATCAAATTTGAGATTCCCGTGTATGAGGTTTAGTTACAGTTTATTAGTTTGCATACTCATATGTCTAGTAAATTACTATATGCAATCTTGAAACAAAAGACAATTCATGTATTATTTATATAAAAAAGTGCGTACAGAAAAAAATAAATAGCTCTACATAAATCACATTTATAAATCGTTAATAATCAAAAGTTAATGAAATCATTTTTGAATATATAACGATTTCTTGAAAATCCAAATAGATAATTTAATATTTTGCAGTTATGATAAATAATGTTTGTCAATTAATCAAGATAAATATTAGCACATTTAGTTCTTACATTAAATTATTTCTTCCGTGAAAAAAAATTGAAATATGAAGTATCTTCTTTTTTTATCGACAGACTATAACTAATTAAAATTGTAATCACAATCACGTGAACAATCAACAAAAACTCATTCAGTTTAAATATATATTAATAAAGACTGTAATTAATTACTGTCAGAATTGAATATCGACACAAATCTCTGTTACGCCGAATGACTCAATTCTTTCACATCCTGAGTTTTTTCGGTCGGGTCGACGCAATGACTCGTCATTTTCATCAATCGCATTAAGCCATTGAACATTAGACATCAACCTCAATAAAAATTCATTTAACTTATTCATCATCCATAAACTTTCATCGATCAATTTTCATGACGATTCAAACAATGTGCAAGACGGCAAATACAATGCTTAATTGCAGCATCGGTAAACATTCAGAACCTTTCCGGCACGAACACGTAAGAGGCACATGCATCGCAGCCTCGGAAATCGAAGGGTACATACGCAGTCTTATTGGAATGCTCTTGCGCCACTCTCGTTATTCCTCCTCCTTTCGTTTAAGGATTCTGTTTCACTTGCAAACTGGTTCTTGTAATCTTTATATTTTTTTCTTAACTTAACACATCCAAGAAAAAGAATTTGTTCACCGTATAAAAGACTATCTGTAATAATTGAATGCTTTTTTGTATAAACAATAACTGTTGGTTTTCATATCTACTCTGTGTACTTAAAAAAGAATAGTCAGTTAACGCCATGTAAAAAAAAGTATTTACAAACGATAAAGAAACACGAATTTATTGATCTAGTAGATAATCTTTTAAATCGAAGAACCAAGAGAAATATTTAAAATCTGTTATTTTAATGAAGAAAGTACTAGAGTATTATTGCTGTAATTGATCATATCCGTATAACACATTACTTCTCATTCAAATTGCTATATTATTCCTTCATTTAGCCACTTTCTTACGTCCACAAACTTGAACGTAGAATAACATACTCGTGGCGCACAGTGAGTATGTAAAATTGACAGTCAATCCATGCTCAGTAGAATAAACTTTCAATTTTACAGTCTAGAGCGTTGAAAAATCTTGATAATTCTCAAGATTCATCTTCAGTTAAGCGAAAAAAGGTGAAGAATCACATGGTAAATCCGTAAAAACATTGACGTCAGCATTTTTTTTAATCAACCTAAACCCACTAACTCCTCTGTTTTGGCGCTTTTAGCGTTGCGTTTTTCGCGTTTTCTCCCGAGAACCAGTCCCCGGGTTATTTATAAACCTCGACTTTTTCATTGTTCACACGTAGCATCACAAAAAGAAGATAAAAAATGTAAATACCAAATAAATCTCTAGGAATTTCTGAGAACGATTCCTACAGGTTGTCAACTCAAAAACGATACGTCAACCGATAATCTCGGGGGAAAAGAGAAAAAAAATAGACACGACAATTAATGTTTTCAACACGCTTCGACAAATTGCTTAAAAACATTCCTTTCATTAACTGTTTCAAAATCTCAACAATTATTTATAGCAGAGTAAACATTGAAGGCGTAGTAAATGCCGTAGTCACTCGAATTCTTTATCGTGTAGCCACGACGATATCATCATTGCCACACTCACATTCTCTGTGAATAGAGAGGGCTAAAGATGAATAAACGATTTACTCACGAAGTATGAGGTGACAATTCGTAATGATCGTAGAGCATGAATAAATGATGATTAATTTAACGAGCAGTGAAATATTAACGTTACTCAATAGTGAAATAAGTCCGACATAAATAGCAATGTATAACTTTCCTATGGGAATGATACATTGACAAAGTTCTTCAGTTTTAAATTAAAGATAATAATAATCATAATCGAATTGATATAATCGTTATTGAAAATACCGGTTTTTATTGTTTTTAAACAGAAAAATGTGAATTTTTAAAAAGATTCATTGAAGGCTGACGTTTAGACATTACATCAACGTAAAAGCAAAAATTCTCAATGGTCGACCTAAATCGTACAAGATCTTCTCGTCTGTCAATGCCATACGGGACGAAAGCGCGACACTTTATTAATATATAGTCACTACTTATGCGTTGTGAAATCAACGTTGTCCGGCGCCAGTGCGGTATATAAATCACTCTATTCTCGTGGTTTTGTATGAGGGTGGCATATAATATAGTTACGCAAGTCATTTCAAATATTTGCCACGGTTTTCAAATTCCATGAGAGGTGAAAGTGAGGTTACATTTAGAAGATATTTACTCAAATGACAATACGATTCATTGTGTAATACACGATAGCGGAGGATCACTTGGCAACAACAAAAAATTAGAAAATGTAGGTACTCGAGTTCATTATTGACACACCATGCGACTAAGAAATTAACATGAGAATTTGTCCGTTGCGTGAATCACAGCTCGTCTTTGAAAAAAGAAAAAACGAACTCTTCGCAAGAAACAAAGTTGCGTAAACCGAGTAGGCG